CAAATAACATATATTTATTATTCCACTACTATGTAATTTTATCATACTAGGGCAATAGAACGCGCAAAATATGCCACGGTATTATGCTGTAGTGCAGGGCGAAAACACGGACGGAAAACGGAACAACAAAATGGACTCTCAGAACAATTTAAATTGAGTGGTTTTTTCCCTTTTCTTGGCTTCGCTTTTTCAACAACAAAGTTTAAAGCGTTTTTTTTCCGTTGGCTATAATAATGGTTTCGTTGACATTATTTTCGTCTTTCGCGCAGGCCTTAGCAATCGATATGTAAGAAGTTTAGATGAGGCCGTAGGCCGTAAACTGAACGACAAAACATCAGAAATTAGTGGAATAATAAATCCCTTATTTGATGGTTTAACGTTTAATATGAACGGATATTTTGCTTATCACTCATATTTTCCCTGCAGCTGACTAGTTATCCGCAACTATTATATTCTATAAGATCCATTGCCTCTGTTGATTTATTGTTTATTTTCTTTTTTTTGCAGACTGACTGGTGAATATCGCTGATGCTTCAATCACGAATTAAACAACTTAAAGACTTACTTACAGGCGAAAGGAAAGATTTACTCAGAGGTACAAAACAGATCAAGTGTTTTTCTCTCAATAATATGAAAGGTCAGATCTGAGATCCATTTGACAAACTCGAGGACTTGATACCAAACGAAAGCACGTAATATTTCGCAGATTTTTGGATTTTTTTATCAGCTTAGCTCGCGTTATGGATTGTTTAAACGTTTTCAATTTCCCGCCAAAAAATACGAGCGCATATTTCGTTTTCTTTTCTGTAAGTAACATTTGTTCAAATGTGGCGAATTTTCCCGCCTAAAATACGCATGCGCCAATTTTTTAAAAAATATATATATTTGCGCAGGTCATATCTCTGTTGTCAATAAACTTAATATCTATCAACTTGTTGTCCTCTTGTGATATCACTATTTATTTACTAATGAAAAGTCAGTAAAACTATTATCTTGCAATAAACACTCAATAAACATCTTGAGTTTCATTTCACATTTTATTTGTTTCAATTCTCTTTGACAAGTTAATTAGATAAGTAATTTTCAATAAAAAGTTGCTCAGAAAAAATTTTGTATATATACTAAGACTTTTGGCGGGAAAATCTGGACGAATTTGCACAGGGTTTCCCCTGGCAACTTTTTCGGCAAAAATTTTATCAACGCATCCTTTAAAATTTCCTGCCATGAACTTTTTAAACAGCATCTCGTGCAAAAAAAAAAGTTGAGTCAACGCCAATTATTGCCTCGCTCTTAGTAAAAAATTATTTTCGTTTTAAGAAATTCTGAATCGACCAAATCTATCTCCTCACCAGAGTTTTTCGTTCACAATTCCTTGCACGAGATGCATGCAAAAAAGTTTTTAACGAAAAAACACCATGACAAGCTAAAGATAGCTCCGAAACTTGATCAGTTATTGATAGTTTTTTTAGCTTCTGTTTTAAATTCTGATTAGTTATTAGGCCCATGGCTTGTCATGATGTTTTCTCAGAATAAAAGATCTTAAAATTCTGTCACTTTGCAAATGTAACACAGGACACAGGATCGAAAAGCAATGAAAAAATTATACAGAACTTTTAAATAAATTTTCGAAGCCATTTTTTAATAACAATGCGTCATTCTTGATCCTTTCCAGAAAAGAAAAACTGCTTTAACTGAAAACGTATCCGAGACTTGTAAATGAATCGTGGAAGGAGCTACAGATCTTTTTAACTATTGGAGCATATTTTTTAAAATTTGGTTTTATCCGCAAGAGCGAATAAAGTTCACAATTAGGCTCCGAGTTTTTATTGACTAAATAATTTCCGTCAAAAATGAAATAGCCGAGTAATTGTTGGAACAGATTTTTTATTTCATCCTTAAGAGCCAATTCAAAAAATTAAGTTCCGAATTCTTGACACCAAATTTCTCAAGCAAATAAAGCAATTGGCTATGAGAAGTGTCGCAGTTGAGCGCTGGTTGAGTCCAAATTCAAAACTCCCTAGCCATTGGAACGTTTAATTTTTTTTTTCTTTTTGCCATGATCCTGTGTTACACCGAGTGACAGTATTCAAGATCTTGTTACGACTTAATACAAGGTAAAACTAAATTAACTACGACATAATTTTAAAATCTAATGCCTTGTCAAAAGAGAAACTTGCAACTACTTTCCCAGAGTGCGATATATCTCTAAAGTCTGGTTAATTAACTGAGACGTTCGTTAAAAGAAAAAAAAAGAGAACGTTACACAAATTGGCAGAAAACAAAAAGCCATTGCTATCTGAAAATTTGAAGGAAACACCTTTTGAACTGTAAGACGATGAAAATCATTTGATTCAATCATTTGATTGACGATGAAAATCATTTCATTCAGTAGACTTTGGATTTGAATATCATACATCTATCTGAAATTTGAAGGAAACACCTTTTGCACTGTAAGACGATGAAAATCATTTGATGCAGTAGATTTTGGTTTTGAATATCATGCATCTATCTGAAATTTGAAGGAAACACCTT